AAATGCTTGAGCATACACTTTTTATTTTTCAAAATCTTTACTATGCTTCCTAAAAACCTAGTAAGAAATTTTTTTATTTATCCAGCTGCCGAAGCAGTTTCACTGGCTTCGCCCTTCAATTATTTACCAATTAAATTTTTGTTGCAACATCAACTTATGGAGTCGGTAGCAAAATTACTTTGCGGAAACAAGGAGTAAATTTAAATTTATTTATTTATTTACTTTTTTATAGGCAATCTATAGTAATTCTGTAGTTGCTATTCGCACTAAAGTAGCATAGGTTATACGAAGATATTTTTGAAAAAGTTATAACCTTCATTATCCGCTAAATATAAAAAGTACATATCCAAATTCTTCATATTGGGTCGTTCTTCTAAAAAATTTTTAAATTTTAGGTGAACGAAAACGAGCATTAAAAATAATGTCTATTTTTTTTTTAGATAGGTTAGAAATTTGTTGTTTATTATGTAAAAAGATGTAAAAGTAATACCTGAGTGACCTTTATCAATAGTAAATTTTTGAAGAAAAAGATAGTTGTAGCTCGCTGATCTCACCTGGTTAATTATTCAATTTCTTACTATTAAAAGTTTTCTTCCAATCCATTGAGTGAGGTGCTTGAGAACACCCATAATTAAACACGATCGTTTTTTTAGTCGAGAAGACATTTTATTACGATAGAGGGAAGCACTTGAGAATATTGTTGAGAATAGGAACAGCATCTCGTTCAATAGATTGGGACAAATTTTTAATGGTCTATAAATGAATCAACAAATCATTATTTGACGTACGTACTTGTATGACTTTCCCAATCAGTAGAGGAAGTGTAACCATCCGGTATAAGTACTGTACGTACTGTATATGGAACAATGATACCTTTTAAACTTTTTACTTTGAGGCATTTTCTATAAAATGATTAAACACTTTGAAAAACTTTCATATAATTATCTTGAGCTTCTTAACGATAAAGAAGACTTTAATGTTATAATAAACGTTGGTGAATCACCAAACATTAAAAGTTTCCAAGCACATTCAGTAATATTAAGATATAGGTCTTTGTATCTTCAAAATAAATTAGCGAACGTTATTAAAGATAAAAACAATATCAAAACAATTAATTTGAAAAATATTTCAGCTGAACATTTTGAAATTATTATTAAGTATGTATTTAATAGTTTAATTTTATAATTTTAACGATTTCGGTTAAGTTCTTGAGAACCTAATTTAAATTATTAATAATTTAATAAAGATACATCTATGGAGGAGTGTGTTTACTAGAAAATCTTGAAACATCGGTTATTTTAGAGCTTACACTTATTGCTTCTGAGTTTATTCTTGATAAACTGTCCAAGGATCTTGAAACTTATTTAATTGAAACAAAGTCATCTTGGCTTCGTTTGCATTTCTCTCGCGTTTATCAAATAAGTTTTCAAAATAACAAACTTTATGAAATTCAAAAATGGTGCAATGATAATATCCTGATAAAATTTTTGACTCATAAGATTTTATCTTTATTAAAGAAAATGCACTGGTATCTCTTATTAAACGGGATGACTTACAAATGGAAGAAGTAAAAATTTGGAATCATGTTTGGAATCATGTTATCAAATGGGGAATTGCTCAAAATTCAGATCTCCCTTCAGGTCTAAAAAGTTGGACTAGTGAAAATTTTCTCTCATTGAAAAATACTTTAAAAAATTGTTTACCTCATATCCGTTATTTTCAAATGTCTGTCGATGATGTTATCGATAGTGTACGACCATATCAGCAAATATTGGAAAATTATCTTTGGGATGACATCTCAATAAAGTTTATGTCACCAAATCGACAAGTAGAATCGATAATTCTTCCACCTCGTATAATTTTGAAACCGGAATTACCGACTAGAATAACTGTTCCATTTTCTTTAATTATTAGTGAAGCACATGCAGCAGAAATTGCTTCATGGGTTGATAAAAAAGATAATATATATTCTATAACAAATAATCCATATGAGTTTAAACTACTTCTTCGTGGAACCAGAGATGGTTTTACTGGTAATTCATTTTGGAATTTATGTGATAAGCAAACACATCTTGTCGTAGTTATTAAGGTTAAAGGTACTGATGAAATTCTTGGTGGTTATAATCCTATTGGTTGGATTAAGCCGCCAAGTAAAGGACGTGAATGCAGATATTGTGAAGATAGCTTTATTTTCTCACTGAAAAATGGGGCTATTCAAGATTCTATTTTGAGTCGTATAAAAGATCCAACAAAAGCAATTGTTTGTTTTCCTGATCATGGTCCGTACTTTGGTGATGGTTATGATCTTGCCATGTTCCAGACTTTTAACGAAAATAATAACTGTTGGAATCACCAACAATCTTACGAAAAACCAATTAGAAATGCGTCTACGTATAATTCTGATAATATATCATTTTTTTCAGCTGATGAATATGAAATATTTCAGATTAGTGAAAGAACCCTTTAAAAGGGGTTGATATCTTAAGGAGGTAATTTGCAATTAAATGACCTATAAATTTATATAATATAGACTTTGTCAAGTTTATATTTTATTATTTTTTAAATTAAAATAAATAATGGAAAGTTTAAGTATAGCATTGAGAAATCTTTTGAGAATTTAGTTAAAATAGATGCTTATTTTCTTAAATAATCTTAATTAAATTTCATTTCAAATAAGTTCCCAATGCTCTTCAATTCTTTATTAAATAATCTCAGTTTTGATATAAAAAAAAGTTTTTTTGATATATTCGCTAGTGAGATTGTTTATTGGTTCAAATATTCCTTGTTCGATTTGACCAAAATATATAAAAATATTCGTGGCAGATTTTTGAGCATTTGCTCTAGTTAATTTCTATAAATAGTGGTGGTATGTATAAGCATAAACCACAAAATGTCCCTTGATTTCATTTAGACAATCGGATCTGTTAAAATGGTATCTCTTTTTCATAAATTGCTCAGACTCATTAAAATTTTCAATCCGCATTTTGTTTCATGAAAGATTGAGCAAATATCTTGATTCAAAAAATGCTATAGGCATCTCGAAACAACGTTAACTGGCTCTTTATACTTATCAAAACAACGACATAGGGGTATTATGTATTATTTCGCAGTTTATTTATATATTTTAAAATTAATGAGTTTGATTATTTATGTAAAACTTATTAAAAGTTCTGATTTATTTACTTGCAACTTAAATTTTCTAACTTCGTTATAATTTTGTTATCCTTGATCCAGTTACTAGAGAAATTTATTTATAATGTCTATTTTTATTTAAAATTATTATACACTTTCATTATCCATCTTTTAGTCTTCAATTTTTTGGCATACTATTATACTTTTCTAGATTTATTACTATTGAAATTTGGCCTAACTATATTTATTACCCAGGTGGATTTTTTTAGATTTCTATAAAAAAAATTTTGTATGTTTTTATATGTACTGTAAAATTTTTTGAAAATAAAATTAAAAGTCCGGGTTGCCGGGCCATTTTTAAAATATGATGTTATGAGGACCAAAAAATTAACTTTGTAAGACCTAATTGTAATTAAATATACATATTTTTTGAATAAATTAAATCCTTCCTAATAAAAAATTCTATATAATTTTTTATAATTTTTACTAAGGCCATGCAAACAAATAAAGTTGCTTCTCGTTTTTACTTTTTTAGAAAGTTAAAATTTTTTTCTATATAATATTTTTTATTCTTGTATGAAAAAAAAAAATTTATAAAATTTTTTATATGAAAAAAATTTATAAATATAAAATTTTTTACCGGCCGGTTGGATTTGTCCCATGTAAAACAACTAATTTAATTTGCATGGCCTAAGCTACTGTATCCGTATTTTTATTTTCTATATAAAAATTTTATTTTTTTTCGTTATATAAACATATAATCCAACCTAATTTATAAAAAAAAATTGTAATAGACAGAGTTCATCATTGTGAATAATTTATAAAAAATTATATAAATGTCATTATTTTTATCAAAGTACAGTATTTTCTAATTCAGATTCAGTTTATTTGTATTACTTAATAAAAGAGCATAATAACTAATACATTTAAAATCTTATTTATTTTTATACTTAAATTTTGTCTATCAGGTTGTTAATTTGGTAATTTAAATATTTTTAAATTCCGTACCTTGTTCACAACAAACCAAGTGCTTCATCTTTGATTTTTTTTATACCCTAATTATAAATAGAGCATTGGAGTTAAAAAGATTATCAAATACTTACAAATATTACCGAATTATAATTCTAGTAATTCTAGTAATTCTAATATAGAGTGTCACGTTAGATAAATAGAGATCAAAATTTTTAAAATTTGTTTATTTGTTTAAATTTTAATCATAAATACTTTAGTTAATAGATTATTAAAAATTTCACAGTATCAATACAGTAACACTTAATGTAATGTAATGCTGGTAAAATTGCCTCACTAACATTTTTATCAGTGCTTTAAATAGGTTTACATCTGTTACTTGTGTTTTTTTTAAGAGCTTTTTTTTCATCAATGTTGACCCATCGATTAAAGTAAATAAAGATTCTTACTAAAAAATTCTATGAGCAAAATTTAAAGATTGTACCTTGTAGCACTGGAACAATTTTAATTATTTTGCTTTATTTAACTAGTTCAATTTTTATATATAAATCATAATGAATATATAACAAAAATTGGATTTTTTACTAAATATTTGGTTATTAATAATTATGGTTGATTTCAAACTATTTAGAAAGAGCAAATAATCACTAAGAAAATTATAATATGTAATAGAATCAAATACAGTATAAAAATAATATATATAAATTGTTTATTATTTATTAACAATAGTGACAAAATTATCTTTAAGATAGCAATTAGAAAGTTTTAAAACTAAAGATTAATTATCACAAATGTTAAAATAAAAAAATCGAGTTGTTAATATATATTAAGTAAAGTGGCAATTATTTAACTAAAAAATAATAAAAGACATGAATATGTAGAATATTAAAATCATATGCTTAATCATTAAATCCTTCATTTTGGACTTCAGTATTATGATTTGGATTTCGAAAATACCAAATAACTACACTCAATAAAGTTGCTACCCATGATATAAAATAAGGTATTAGATAATTATAATTGCCATATTCAGGTGGGAAAAGTGATACAAGAATAATTAAAACTATAATTGAAAAAAATGGTTTATTAACCATTTTATCCATTTGATCTAGTATATTCGTCTTTAAAATCTAAATAAAATTAATGTTTTTAATAAACTGAAAAAATAAATTAAAATATGAATTTAAAAAATTTAAATACCAATAAACATAATGCACTCGCAGCATGAAAAATCATAGCCAAATATTGTGATGTATAAGAGGAAAAAGTAAAACAATTTGCTTTTATCGAAATAAGCATAGTTAATATCAAACAGTAACAAAATTGTGCCAATAATTGATTAGTTAATGTATTAAATTTTCGATTATAGTTTTTAAAAATATCAGATATCATGGGTATGAATTCAGTTTCGGCAGCATATTTAATAATTCGTGCATAACTAAAAACAAAAGAGATTAATCATTAGTAATTTTTCTTATTTAATTGGAATAACAATATGAATTTTACAGACATGAAAGCCATCTTCCAAATGCAGAAATTGCAACAAGTCTTGACATGAGCATTTCTCCAGTTCCACCAAGTAGTGCTTTGCCAAAACGTAAAGCAATTGGAATATTCTCGTTATCAATAATATTATTTCCAATTACCGTTATAAAAGCAGCATTAGTGAAAAAGTCTAAATAATATAATAATTTGAAATTATATTAGAAAATGTTTGATGAAACAATCTAAATAAAACATAATAACATTTAATCTTACAAAGTAAAAATGAAATGACAACGCTAATAATAGAAGAATATGTCAGGGTTTTGTCTTTTGGTTCTTTTAATTCTTCAATTAAATCTATAAAAAGAATTTTATATCAATTACGTTCGAAATCAAATTAATCTAATTTAACATAATTGTATTAAATTTCTTACAATTTATATTATTCCATCCTTGAATATTTGTGATAAAATAAATCATAATTCTGTAATTAACATTTTTGTCAATTTTATAATTGAAATGTTTATTAACACACCTTCATATGCGAACAAAACCTATATTTAAATTATATGAAATTTTCTGGTTAACTACTAGAAAACTCATATATCAATAAATATTATATATAATTTACCTGTATTAAACCATTTCCATATGCACCAACTACATGTACACCAAATTTAGATGATGTATTAAAAATATTACTCCAATTAGTAGAACCGGTTCCAGCTAATTTTACTAATCCAACTACCGAAATAATAAGTAAGGAAATGATCTTAATCAGGGCCAAAACTTGATTAATGGAATAGGATATTGCATTATTAAATAACACGTGATATAAAGTGATAAGTAATAAAATTAAGACCGAAATAATCACGGCCCTACAAATTTAAAAACATTCTTTATGTTAATATACGTATTAAAATCACACATCTTATTATCGTTTTTGCACACTTGGTAATAATCAAAATCGACAGCTAATTTCGCCCGATTTTTTTTCAAACCTTTATTACCACTATTACTATAATGTGTATATTTTTATCTTGTGTTAGATAACAAGGTACAGTAGTCCAAATCCTCTCAGAAAATCGAATAAAGTTCTAAAATGATAAAAGTTGCAATGGTTTAGCAAATAAAAAAATATCCGATTTTATGAATTCTCTGATTATTATATAAAGAAAGTAGCTTGTAATAATAAATGTATCTCTCGTTGCTTTCCAACTATCATTAACGATTAAGTTCAATTGATTATATAAGAGATGCTTTAAACTCAATTTAAGATTACTACCATATGTCTGAATTAAGTGTACAAAACCGATAGTGAGTTCAATAAATTCAAACGATTTTTTGCTTACATGTAATTGTTAAAATTCCCTCGAAAAGCGTAGAGAATGTATTGAGCGGAACTATAACAATCAGCGACTATAGCCCCGGGTAATATAATACTATTATAAATATTTGATTCAAATTGTTATTATTCATATGTATATATATGAATAATACAATGATTTAGAGGGTATTTAGAAATTCACACACAAAATTACAACGAAGCTAAACACATGTCCAAAATTTCTTCTTTTCGAATACGCATCAGTAATATATTTTTGCTCTCCTAAACCGCTGGGTAATGACCTTATTCCCAACTATAAAATTAATGAAATCAAAAAAGTTTATACGTAGTAAGATCAGATATCATATAACCAAAGAATAATTCGTTAGGGTTCCCTTATGTCAAGAAAATCCCGAGCTGAAGATCACTGTAGATCCTTTCCGATCTGATTCCGGAGCCCAAATATTCACCAATCAGAATCAATTAAATTGAAAATCCTTTTGAAAATTTTGGATTTTTTTAAACTTCTGGCGAATATTTCTCAGTAACCATTCGATCAAATTTAGCAAAAACTTTTTTATTTTGATTCTATGTATTTGTTAAATTAAAATAAAAAAAGTTCATTGAATTTGGTTCAATTGGTGTCGAGAAACCTTCGCTATAAGTTTTGAAAACGTTTGAAATATCTTGAAAAAGAAAATCTAAAATCGGCAAATTGTTTCTTTTTGAAATTTAACCGATGATTTCTCAACACCCAGATATCCAAATTCGATGAAATTTTTTTATTTTGATTCTACCAGTACGTGGGATTAAAATAAAAAAAAAAATTTACTGAATTTGAATAGACAGGTGTTGAGAAAAATCGATTAGAAGCCAAAACAAAATTTTGGCCGCAGCTTTTTTTTACGGACATCTAAATTTGAACAAAGATAACTCGACTGTTACCTAATCAAATTCAATAAAAATTTTTTTATTTTAATTCTACAATCTCACAGAATTAAAATAAAAAAATTTTGATCGAATTTGATTATGTAATGGCC